CCTTGAACCCTAAACCCTTAAACCCCTAAACACCAGCCTTAGGCTGCTTCGCGCCGTCCTTCTGGCTCGACAAACTATGCATCCACCAGACGAAGCATGACCTCAAGGCATTCTCGCGGCGGGTTGAGGGTTTTGGGTTTTGGGTTTGGGGTTTTGGGTTTAGGGTTTAGGGTTTGGGGTTTGGGGTTTAGGGTTTAGGGACAAAGGGAAACCTAAACCCTAAACCCTACATAAACCCAAGCCCCTAACGGATTCTGTTCCTGAAGGGTTGTGTAGACGGGTCCCATGGGGTGTCGGTTTGCTTGGGTTTAGGGATTTTTTGGGGTATGGAGGTTGAAGGGTTTAGGGTTTTAGAGCTTACGGTTGCAAGGTTTGGAGTCTAGGGCCTAGGGCTTAACGTCCCTAAACCCTAAACCCTAAACCTTTCCTGAGGCTGCTTGTTCAAGGATGCTGGAAATTCAGTGGTTGCATACCATGGTTGCAGGGGGATGTTTAGGCTTTAGGGTTTAGGGTTTAGGGTTTTGGGTTTTGGGTTTAGGGTTTAGGGTTTACCCTAAAGAACCTACCTTTTTAGGGTTCCTTAGTATGATTTCTTTTTATAAGTCCTTGAAAAGGAAGGTTATTTGGGGTTCAGGTAGGGTATGAAGTCGTGGAGCGAAAGCTGGGTTCTTGCTAGCGAGCCTGATGTAAGTTGCCATCTGGGGGTTTCCGATTATTAGGGGTACCTTATCTTGGGGTCCTTATAATAGGGATCCTACTATTTAGGGTACTATATTAGGGTCCCCTATTTTCGGGAACCCCCATCTATCCTTGCCTTGGTAACTCAAATCAGAGGACTCAGAGGACGGCGCAGCTGCTGCAAAAGACGCTTTTAAATTAAGGGCTCCTTTGCGCAGAAATCTTCGTGGGTTCTTGCGGTTTAGGACTCGGGCTCCTTTGCGTAAAAAATCTTCGTGGGTTCTTGGGGTTTAGGACTCTGTACAGATGAGGATTCACGCTGTGAGTGTTCTAGAGGTCACAGGGTTCAAAACTGGCTTCTATCAGGTTATGCCGCAAAACCTATGGCGTTTGGGAGTTTCCCAGACACGCTCACACCCCAACCCCCCAAATCACTAAACTACTTAAACCCCACAAAACCCAAAACCCTAAATGAAAAAGCTCCTGGAGCCTTAGCCCGAGGATAAGGCACTGCATGCTTTCATCGCCACTCCAGGCGCAGCAAGTGGCCGCGCTGCCGGTTTTCGTCGCCAGGTCTACAAGGAGACTTAGTGGCTGAGTAGGTAACCTTTAACCTTTTGGGGCTCTTATAACCCTACTATAATTCAAAAGGTTAACCTTTTTTGGGCTAGGGTACTCAACCCCTAAGGAGACGGAGAGCAGCCCTAAAACCCAACGGGTTGAGCCTCAACCCTAAACCCTAAAACCCTAGAAGCCTCAGGCCTAAACCCTAAACCCCAAACAGATCTTAAGAAGGCTTCACACTTCTAGATGGGCTTTCAAATGGGAGTTTCAGAAAATATGGGACCCTAATATAGTACCCTAAATAGTAGGACCCCTATTATAAGGACCCCCAAATAAGGTACCCTAGTTTCTGAAACTCCCAAATGGACCCGAGGAGGCTTCAGGTGGGATCTCGAAGGATTCTAGAAGGGTTTCAACGAGGGTGCCACTGTTTCACCAACGCTGTAAGATTACCGGTTTAGGGTTTGGGTTAGGGTTTAGGGGTTTGGGGTTAGGGGTTAGGGTGTAGGGTTTGGGTTTTGGGTTTCGGGTTTGGGGATGTTTCTGCAACTGGTGATGGGTTGCTGAAAATGTTTTGGAGGGCCGGATGGGTTGGGGGTCCAAGGTCTATAGCACTCGTCCGGGGTTCTTGGATTGGTGTAGGGGACCCTAAACCCTAAACCCTAAACCCTAAACTGTCTAAGGTTTAGGGTTTTTTTTGCTGAAGCCCCATGTCCTCGACCTGCGAGACGATACAACAGACATCTCTGAGGGCCTTGGATTGGTCAGCTGACACGGTGCATGAAGGGTTGCTATGGAGGGAATTCTTGGGGCCTTAACACGTCCCTATACTATTGTGGGGGCTTCTTAAAATTATAGTTATAATGTACCATAAATAGTAGGATCCTTATTATAAGGACCCCCAAACAGGGTACCCCTTTTTGTCGGAAACTCCCATATGAATGGGCCTTGAACACCGTGCTAGGATGCTCGTTCTCTGGGACGACACCTACTTCGAGAGGCTGGCAGGGGGCTCGGTTTAGGGTTTAGGGTTTACTGTAGGGTTTCTGGTTTTGACCATTGAGGGCTTGAGAGCTTTAGAACTGTATTGCAGCCGGATTTTTTTATCCTTGGACGGTCCTTCTTTGCAGTTGAGGGTTTAGGGTTTATTTATGCGGGTTAGAGGTTTCTCATACATAGCCAGAGACTCGTAGCTGGACTTGTAGAATCCTAAACCCTAAACCCTAAATGCTGAATTGGGGTAGTCGCCGTCAACCGGCGAGGTTTGCCGTGTATCGGTTCTGCAGTCCACTGTTCGGGTCTAACAGACCTCCAATGCCCTTGTCGCCCGAACAATGGGTTGAGGGTCTAGGATTCAGGGAGAGAGCATTGCTTCTGTAGACAGCTTGCAGTGTGGTGGTTTCCGAAAACCAAGCGCCGCTGTTTAATGAGATCTGTCTCAAACGGGACCTCATGGGCAAACGGTCGAAACGCACGCACCTCTGCGTCAGGTTTGTAGTGTACCCATGCGTATAGTATATCTCCCTCTCTGTCTCATGCACTGTCTGTGGATCTGTCTGGATAACCGTCGCCTTATATTATGAACAACTATGCATCTTATACTATAGGCACATAAACATTCACATGCACATGCGCGCACACACACACACACATGCACGTGTACAGGTACATATAGAAAGACATATGCATATAAAACACATGTACATCTGCGCATGCATATACATGCACGTACTGAGTTACATATGCAAGTTCATATACATATGCACACATGTATACGCATATATATATATATATATATAGAAAAACAAATATATATATATATATATATATATCATACTTGTTGGGGATTACGGGGGCAGGAGGAACATCTGTTGGTTCTTTCGGTCGAGCTCGCGGATCAGGAGGAACTTGTGCTCCTTTGGGTGGAGGTGCCGGAGCAGGAGGAACTTGTGCTGGTTTTTTCGCTCAAGCTAGCTGAACAGGAGGAGGAGAGCGACAGCTCTAGCTCGTTGTGGAGAAGGAACAACGACAGCCGCAGGCACCTTCTTGCTGTCCACGCTTCGAGAACGATCCCTAGCCTCTACTGGTCCTAAAACTGCTGCAACCGGCCGTGGCTGCCTCTGTACGGCAACCGTAGGCTTGTACGTCATCTTCTTGCTGTCCATGCGCCCCAGTTCCAGCTACCGGTCCAACCGGCAGGCTGCCTCTGTCCCGACATGACGATGCTGGATCACCACTAGAATCTGGCTTTACCCTTGCAGGATGTGCCACGTGAGCTGTGCTCATTCCCTCTGTCACTTGACCTGTCCCCCGTGTCTTTACATCTTTTGAAGAAAGAGAGTCGTGTTTTGCCCAGATAGGCAGAAAAAGCCACAATGCAGCCTTGCCAGTGTGATGACAGTGGCTTCAAGGAGGGAATGGTGTACTTTGCGACAGGGCGAATACAGAATGTATGTTGCTACACTAGCATACTTGTTCTTATTAACGTGCGTGTGTGTGTGTGTGTGTGTGGATCCGATGCTGCTTGTACATGCCCGTGGTATGAGTTTGCATTTGCCTTATGCAAACGACATGAAACGTTGGAAAAGGTTTTCCCTGAAATCTGTGTTGTTGGCATCTTTACCCATTGTTATCCATATGTGTACCGTATACTTATGTATATGTGTATGTTTGTGTGCTTGTTTTGGTTTAATGTGTATTATGCATGGGTTCATGTATGGATTCATGGATTCATGTGTGGATTCATGGACGGATGGATGGATAGATGGACGGATAAATGGATGGATGGACGGATGGATGGATATGTGCATGTAGGTATGTATGTACGTATGTATGTCAGTATGTATGCATGTATGTTGTATGCATGCATGGTCTCGGGTCCCGGCCTGCTACCCCCGCCCCCCTCCCCGTCCCCGCCGCCCCCATGGTATCCCTCGTGGCCCGACAACATTCACAGGGATCGAGCTGGTTGGGGCCACGATTTTCGTGACAGTCCTCGTTTTCCAAGGATGGGATCGACATCGCGGTGTCAAACCGCCGGCAGTCGCACTCCGCGCTTAGACATAAGCTTGGAGAGACGGCCGGTGTTCCTGCCGACCCTAACAAATTGCGAACCACAAGCATCACCCCACAGAGGAAAGGGGGGCAGACAAAGAAGCCCAGAGACCAGGAGCCCAAGCAGGACCTCAGGCACCACATCACACGGGGGGTTGGGATAGCGTGGGGTGGCGGGGAGGTGGGGCTCAGGCCCGGCATGTGTGCATGCATGCATGTATGTATGTATGTATGTATGTATGGATGTATGTATGCATGGATGTATGTCTCTATGTATGTATTTCTGTATAATATATATATATATATATATACACACACATAGGTGTGTGTGTGTGTGTCTGTATGTGTGTGTGCTTATTTTATATGTATGTGCATCTGTATATGTAGATTTACAAACTTGCTTTACATGTATGCGTAGACTTATATGTGTACGCACGTTTAGATGTACATGTATACGTATGTTTATATGTATGATTGTGCATGTGTATAGATATGTAACTTGTTTGTAACTAAATGTTGTACATATGTATACATACACACATGTATGTACACATACATACATATTTGTATGTATATAGACAGCTTTATACGTACGACCATAACATAGACGCGAGTGCGTGCGCACACACCGACGCACGCACACACACACACACATACACACACACACACACACACACACACACGCGTACGTACCACACTCTGTTTCTCCCTCGCAGTATGGATAGGTAGATAGATGGGTCGGTAGCTAGTGACATGCTCGTATACAGAGCTGTGTACCTGTGCAGGACATAGGCAGCTAAGTCGCCTGTGTGATTCTGGCAGAATCCTTAAAGACTTAAAGAGTTCTTGTAGTTTGCTTTGCGCTTGTCACTTCGAAAGCGAGGCTATGGTGCAACATGGAGATGGCCACATTCGCAAAGTACTCGGCCAGCCCAGAAAAGGCAGAACGAGCCGTTGAAGACGAGTTAAGGTTTTGGATTTTGGGTTTAGGGTCAGGGGTAAGTAAGACATGTAAAATTGGGAAATACTTACTAGGGTGTTTTGTTATTAGGTTTGAGGCGTTGGGTCCGTTGGGTCCGGGGTTGCGGGTTAGGGGCAAGTTGGGGGACCCGGGTGTAAGTTTAGGTCATACTGGTATACCGGCAACCTTTACAGAATTTAGGCTTAAAGGGTTCGTGAAACCTCATTGAGACGATGTGTCCCCAAGATGGAATTCTTGCCGCTGTGGCTTGCTCCGTGGATGCTGTCTTCTGTTCTGCTGGACCTGCTGGGTGTCACCCTTGTCTGCTGCATGCAGAGATCCGCAAGCGGTGAAGGATACGAAGACAGCATTGATGCTATCGCGAAGCATGGTGCAGAGCTCGTCGGAGGTTCCCGGAACGTGCGGACCTTCATCCACATGTTCTTGGAGGTCTTCCCCAGCTTCACGTGCTACCTCCCAGTCGCTTTGCCCACTCTCCTATCCTTCAAAAGGACTTCTAGGGGCCGAAAAGGTAGCCTTCAAATTTGTGGGGGAAATATCCTACCATAAATGCGGGGCCCTGAGCCGCAGCCTGTAGCCATTTTGAGCACTTGTTCGAGAGGCCTTAAATCCTAAACCTTAGACCTTCAGCCCAAAACCCTACACCATAACTGCAACCCTCAAGCATCCACCCAGATCCCTAAGCCCTAAACCCCCCTAAAGGGTTTAATTAGTGTTTAGGGTTTAGGGGTTTAGGGTTTGGGGTTTAACGGTTTAGG